GAGGGACGTGCCGAGCGGCACCGCCGGCACGGCCAGGCCAGGGCCGCCGGCCTTGTTCTCCCCGATTGTTCTCCACTTCCTTCCCGCCCTCACATGGCTCCGAGGTGGTGTCCCCGTGGCTGCCCCCATGGCAACGGTGGGGTGCCGGCCATCTCCCCCCGCCACCTCCCGCCTCCTCTTCCCTTGCCCGTGCGAGGCGGCGTCAGCCCAGGGGCTGTCCCGCCCCCGCCTGCGCGAGGGTCCCGCTCCCCATGACTCGTCCTACAGACACCCCTCTCTCGACGACGACAACAGCAGCAGCCATCGTTCATCATTCAACACATGGGTTGGGTCAGCGTCACCGTGGCCCCTGGGACTGGGTGGCGCTCGGCCCCCGTGGAGGACACCCTGCCTTGCGCCTCCAACCTCCCCTTCCCTGGAGGGAGGGGACGTCAGATGTCACACACAAAAATGTGCCCTGGGGCTGTGAAAATAAATGACCGCATTTTTGGTAAAATCCCTTCAAAATGTAACAAGGTTTATTAAAAAGAGGCGGGGGGAAAGGAATCTGTCTGCTAAGCTGCATTTCCTATTAATGCCGGACACACTTATCCCAGTGCAAACACCGCTCTCCAGATGGCCACAGCCTGCCAGTCCATCGCCCCAGCAAGCGGCCGGGGGGTGCCTGCCACCCCTGTGGTGCTCAGCCCAAAATGCAAAAGGTATGGCTTGCCATGGGGCCAGCTGGCGACAGCAGACCCCCTCATCCTGACAGTGTTCTGGGGCAGCGAGCAGAAATCTAATCCTCAAAACCCTGGCATGGCAATCCCCGGGGCTGGCTGTGACAGGCATCAAATTTGGTCTCAAAACTGGATTGGTCTTCCTTGCTTGAACCACTAAAGAAGCGGTCTAAAGCGGCAGGAACCTCTCGACCGATGCTACGCACTGCATCTGCCCTGCCGCCAGGCTCGGGGAGAGCAGAAATAACCCCCTGCCTCCCTTCACGTGCCGCCTGGTGACATGTTAGCAAACAACACCGGGGGGTGGAGGGGAAGAAAGAAAAAGTACGATCTGTGCAGGTTGAGGCTGTGGGATTCCTGCAGATGCATCCTGTCCACGGCCCTCCGCGAGTACAACAGGAAAAGGAACCACTGCTCCCTCCGAAAGCACCGCGGTGCGGGGCTGGGGACGCTCCTGCTGCTGGCAGCCAGTGCTGGGCCAGCTCTCGTGGCCGTCCAGCCTCCTTGCCGGCCCTGGGCTGCTGGGAGCTTCGGGGACTACCCACATCAGGCAGTGGCTCATGCTGAGGACCCACTGCTCACCCTGATGCCCCACCCTGGGGCTGGCATCTTGAGATGCTGATGCCCACAGCCACATGTGGCATCCAGGACAGGCAGAGGGATTCCCAGCCTGCAAAAGCATCTTCAAGGCCATCAGCTTTCCCCAAAAAGATTCTCCATCCCTCTGCGCTTGCCAGACAGATCCACCCCATTGCTGCCCTTGCCTGGGGGAGCGTGTGCCCTGCTACAGCTCTCTCTGGTGTCACACTCTCCCCAGCACTGAACTTGGTGCTGGGTTTGGCCATTAAATCTCTGCTAACCGACATACAGATGGTTTGTGTCTCCGGCAAATCCCAGGGTGTGAGGGAGATGTCTCCAGAGCATGGAGCGTCTCCTCTCCCCCGAGTCCCTCCTTCGCCCCCCTCCAACCCCAGCGATGCTTTATCTCCTTGGCCCTTCGAGCAGATCCCACTCTCTCGTGCACGCTAAACTGCGCCCTTGCACGGGGAGAGCATTAATGTAATTAAAAAGGCATGCGGCAGCCCCGGCGAGCTTTGTTTTTTCAAGATGGTTTCCAAGCAAGTTGGCAGCGGGATATTAAAATAAACAGAAGGGGATTGATGGGATGCGGGGAGAGGAAGCAGGATCCCACAGCCACTCACACCTTGTCTATTTTCAAAGCGTGTTTCCCAGCAGTTTTCCTAGCCTTGATCTCTCAGCACGCGGCCCTGAAAGGGGCCAGGCTGCATCAAGGGCCTTCTCCTTATCGCTGGCGGCTCCATCATTTTCTGCAGCCCCTTCTGCCTCTTCCTGCACCCTGAAATCTCTGCTTCTGGGGTCCTGAATCCCAGGGTTCTCCCTGCCTGGTGGGGAAGCCATGCTCGCCCAGGAGAGTGCTACCCACCCTAGGGCACCTTGCAGAGACCGAGCAGCCCGCAGGCTCCAGCCTTGTGCTTGAACTCCTCTCCACCCTCGGGCATGTTGTGGGAAAGCCTCACATGTGGCCTGGTTTTCCCTTGTGATGGCTGCAGACGCCTAAATCACTGCAGGGCAGCGTCTGTGCCAGGGCCAGCACCGCTGCAGCAAGCGATGGCTTTGGAAACCCGGGCGAAGGCTGCGTGTGGGTGAAGGTGCAGGCGTAGCATGGCACGGTACGGCATGACATGGCTCCCGCTCTCCGTCTGCTGCCACTCGCAGGAAGCCCTGCACCGGATCCTCCCTCCAAGCCCCCCCACACCACCTCAGCCCCTCTCCGCTTCCCCTTCCCTCCCTCTCTGCTGAGTCGGCCCCGCTGACTGATTAACGGGGCGCCTTTCCGGAGAGGGATTTTGTTCACACTCTGTCCTTCTCGCTGACTTCCTTCCCCGGCGATGGACTGGATCGCTCTGGCCACAGCCGCTGCGTGTCCCCAGCTAACCGGCACAGCTCATGCTCCTGCCACCGAACTTACTGCTTCAGGGTTTTGTGACCAGAGCTGCAAAATAACATGGAGCAAAGCTGGTGCAGATGAGGCTGTGTGCTCCTGCTTGTGTCCTGGCACCTCACACACCCAACCCAACCCAGCCTGCCTACCTTAGTGCTGTACTGGGTCAAAAGATGGGCTGGAAGGGAAAAAAGAGTGTCCTTTTCCCCAGCAAAGCTACCCTGACCCTGCTACTGCCCCATTTCTACTTTGCTGTATTCAGGCTAAAATTCCCAGGCAATAAGCATCCCGACAAAGCAAGGCAGGAACTTGAGGTTCAGACACCTTCTACAAAAAAGGGATTTCTGGCAGATTTGTACCAGGTAACTGAATTCCCAGACCAAGGCTCCAGGATGGAGCCCTTGAATTTACCAACATCCTGAGTCTGCCACACAAAGCACCACCGATGAGCCTCTTCCAACTCACCGGGCTCAGGCAGCTGCTCTGGCCTGTCCCTGGCTGCGGCTCAATGGCACTCTGAACGCCCTGGGATTGCTCATGGCCCAGTGCTACCATATAGCCTGATGTGGCTCACTTGGCAAAGCGCCTCCCATTTCCCTTGGGTTTCACCCCCAGCCCGAACATTTGGCTGCCCCGAGCTGCCCCTGCAGGCTGCAAAGCCAGTGGTGGGGGCTCTTCCCTTGCAAGGCATGCACTTAGACATGCAATCACACATCATGGTTACTACGTGAGCAAAGACCTGCTCCTGGACAGCCAACAATAAAATTCCAGTGCCTCAGTGGCAGCTGAGGAAACAGGGACTGAATGACTCTTTCTGATGCAGAAGAGCAGCAATAGCTGGCACTGGGGGAGAGGGAGAAAAAACC